CTACATTGTAAATAATAATAAGTAGTAAATAAATACACCCTGTAATAAAAACACACCCTACAATATTAAGTCTTCTTATACTAGGTGGTGATAAAATGATAAGTTTAAGGTCCTATGGTTTAAACACAAGAGTTTTTTTTATTTGTTTGTTTTCTTTTTTTGGCTAGGCAAACATACCTTTTATCCCTTTTTTCATAAATAATATATCTCTTCATCAAAAGACCTAAACAGCAGTAACCAATAGGCAATTAAAGATATAAAGCAGGGATTGGCAAACGGAGTGTGCGTATGTGTGTTTATGTATACACATATGTACATGTGTAGTATATAATACAATAAAACTTTATTCAAAAATATAAAAACCATTCTGAGCTCAGAGGTTGTACAGAAAGAGGCTGGGGGTCAGATTTGGTGTTTGCACCATAGTCTGCCCACCCCTGAAAACTATAGAGCTATCTTTTAAAATTATATAAATATCTAAGTGCTCTTTTGTAAATTACTCGTTAATCTTCAACTCAATCACAGCTTAATCTAATGGTATTCTTTGTCCCAGGCAAGGATCTTGCCCCTTCCAGGGGCACCATTGGGACTTCTGGGCATTTGGGTATCATGAGTCCTTGCAGCTAGCTCTCTTAGCAATTCACTATGGCCATCCCAGCTTACAGAATCATTCTGGGGACCACCCTCTTTCACTCTCTTCTGCTGTCATTATTCACAGGTTCTCTCAGAGTCCTCATTCCTCCCTTCTACGGGGAAAAGGAAGAGAAATGAAGGAGCCACCTAGAGATGGAAGCAATGTTCTGTTTCATCCCTAAGGGAGAATAAAAAGCACAGTCTCCAGCACACAGTAAGTGCTTAATAAATACTTGTTGATATGACTTGACTAAAACATCCTTTCATCCAATGGTTACTGCCTGTGGTAGCTGCTTGCCAGATAGAACTTGAATCTACCAAAAGGTAATATTTTTTGGCAATAGTATGAGCTCACAAGCTACTTTCTTTTGCAAAGCATTATTATAAATCTCATAATAAAATAGAGCATTTCAAATGAAACATTTAAACAAGGTTTTTGAATGCAGATGTAACTGGTCTCTGCTTTTCTAAGTTCCTACACACGTGATACTTTGTCTTAGATTCCTCAGTGGAAGAAAATGTTTTAGTTATCTAGCTATGTATGTGCAGTGGAAGGGTGGCCCTAAGATTTGAAAAGAGGACAATGACCTTCATTATGGGCCTATGACTCAGTAAACATGGATTCTATTCTATCAGAGCTCTTCCAATACTTCACTTGTCTTAAGTAAAGTTAATAAAGGTAAACTGAAGTACATACTCTCAGCAAAATCAGTTTATTACAGTGATGCATAGAACTGTTAACAAAGCAGGTCAGACTGATCACCTTAACTGATCACCTCAATAAAGCCAGCAACCCCAATGAGAAGGAAGGAGCCCTCTTCATTGACACACAAGAAAGAAGGGGTCTTAGTAGTTATGGAACATTATGACTGGCCATGGGCTGGCATTCAGGTGAGGCTAATCACACCCCTCTCTGACAATTAAGAAATGTTCATTGTTTTTAGGGTACCCATCTGCATCTTGCAAACTTTGCTAGGGGATCAGAACTACCAGACTTACTGTCTCCTAGGAAGAGATAAAATCTCCCCTAAATTCATAAGGACTGTCAAGGACAGAGGACATATCTTTTGGGGATGGTACCAAGCTAACTTGTGGAGCTTAAAGATGACAATCAGATATTCTAACAGTATCCCTAGGGCTACTGGTGTGAGATAAAAACTTTTCTTTTAATTATATTTTTAAACTAACTCAAGGAAAGTTGAATTCTTGAGCTTAACTCAAGAATACAGCAATGCGGCTTTAGGCAGATGTAGACTCAGTTATAAAATTAATACATCATAGAATCAATTATATTGTAGAATCAAGACAAGCAGAAACTCAAGGTGATATTAATTTTGATCTTTTCCTACTAAAGATACCTGGGCTTTTTGTACTTCCATTTCATTGTCTGCAAAATGAGACTTATGCCAATACTACCTTCCTTCCCACCCTTCTTTGCATGCTACAGGTGAGGGCTCGAGGTAATATGCATAGGCCTTTCAAAAATTCACTAAGAAAGACACTTAGCTAAGAGTTATTTTTAGATTCTCTGGTTAGCATTTTTTTCCTAAGGATCCATAGTGTCTCCCCATGATGGACCTTATGGATCAAGTCACTGTACTTGCTGCTCTTTGAGGAACCACTGAATTCCTACTCCCCACTTCATGTTGCTCAAGACACCTCTTGGCTTACAGTACCAAGTGCACACCCAAAAATGTCTCCACAAACATAGGATGCTCTACTCCAAGCGGCAGCCAAACTCTACCATGATCACCTCCTGATCACCAACAATGGTGAAGGAGGGAAAAATGGACAAAACCCTCAAATAATCCAAAGACTTCTTGCCTTTGCTCCCAACTTCCCTTGCTGCCAAAACTTTTACCATCACTGCTAACAAATAAAAAGAATTGGCAACTCAGATCTTAGCATCTTTCATTTCTCTTATTCAACTCTGATGAAGGTTTGTATTAACAGTGAAATGGTTCCAGGGTGGAGAGGACAGTTTTGGAGAATTACCTCATGAAAAAGCAGATGCATTATGTAATTCAATTAAATCTGTAATTTTTAAGTGCTTTCATGTCTATATGCTAGCTTCCACACCCACTTTTTGAGGGTCTCAATGGTTGAAGCAATGGTGTGATGGAAATAGCACTGGTTTGGGAGTCTGAGGTCCTGGGTTCAGTTTCCAGCTCTCCTTCCTGCTAGTTGCCTGATTGCAGACAAGTCGTTTTATTTACCCTTCTGGGTCTCAGTTTCCTCACCAGTAAAATGACTGGCTTGGATTAGATGACCAGCTCTAAGTCGATGTTCCTTCGTTCTGCTACATGTACCTTGTTTGTTTTCATAATACTCCTCCTCTAACCTTCCCCCATACACAATGTAGTTTGAATAACTGATTGTGGTTTTAATATGATGTTTCCCAGGTGCCCAGAGACATGCCCAAGAGACCACTCTCCTTTGTAAAACATTAGATATTGTCCCTTTGCTGCAACAGTGCAAGGATATTTTTTTCTTCTCTGTGATTCCAAAATGCCTCCTTTGAAACCCTAGTATGGTGAGCACAGTAGTGAAGGCTACCATGTAAGTGAGCACCCTTGAGATAATCTGTTGCTCTCAGCCAAACTGGTTCAAAAGGGCAGCCAGGCACAGTGATAATGATGTTACTGTTGCTGCTGCTGCTAGCCAAAATAACTTGTATTTATAAAGCACTTTGCAGTTGCAAAGGGCTTTGACATCATTAGCTCATTTGATTCTCACGATAACCCTGGCAGCCAGCTGGCAAAAATCTTCAGTATGCTGAAGAGAAAGTAATGGCCAGGAAAGGTTAAGTGGTTTGCCCTAGGATAGATGGCTAATAAAGAGGCTAGAGCCTTCCTTTCTAAGGTTATTTTCCATCTCTCTGAATGTAACTTTTATGTTATTTATTTATTACCGAATTATTTACATACTCTCTCCCATACTCAGTTGTAAGATCCTTGAGGGCAAGGACTATTTGTGCCTTTCTTCAGATCACCAGTGCTTAGCATGGTATTTGGCACATGGCAAGTGCTTAATAAATGTTCATTGATCGATTGATTGATAGTGGATCCAAGGTTCAAGCTCAGATCTTCAGATTCCAGTGCTTTTCGCCCTACACTATGCCCAGATCAGCAAGAGATTTTAAGCAATTTGCAGAATATAAGTGCAAGGAAGTTGAGGGGGGTGGGGAAGGTGTTGGGGGAAGAAGGAGAAGGAGAAGGGACTAGGAGGAGAAAAAGGATATTTACTGAGAAGTTTTTATGTCAACACCAACTTAAATAAAGGACATGATAAGCCTTGTTTTTCTCTAATTATACACATAGCTGTGTGGTAATCTGTTTTGTGTGACATTTGAAGAATACTTTTCCCCCATCATATCCTGCTGACGTGGAGTAATATAGGATAATAAAAAAGGTTTTTGGGCAAATATAGTCAACTTCTTTTTTAGGTTATAAATCTTAAGCCATTCTGATTGTGAAATCATAATACCTTCTCTTCCATACACATGGCCCCAAAAGCATCTGCTTTTATTATTATTATTGATATTATTATGGTTATTTTGTCCAGATTTGTTATTTAATTGGTATAGGTATTAAATATATATAAGATCCTTGAGGGCAGGGACTATTTTTGCCTTTCTTCAGATTCCCAGTGCTTAGCATGGTACTTGGCACATACTAAGTGCTTAATAAATGTTTGTTCATTGATTGATTGATAGTGGATCCAAGATTCAAGCTCATATTCAATATTTAACTGGCATATTTAAATTGGTTTTCCAGTGGGGAACCTTCCTTTGTCAATGCGTGTCAACACCTACTCTGCAACTTACAGTCTTAGAGAGTTACCTATGACCCAAGGAAGTTAATGACTTGTCATGGGTCATACAGGTTGTATATATTAGAGACATAACTCAAACCCAGATCTTCCTGATGCTAAAGCTGGCCTTCTATCACATGGCCTCTCTTTAAATTTATAATATCGAAGGAACACACACAAGCAAAACCAAACCATGTTGACTGTGCAACCAAAAGTTTGGAATTCTGTTGTCCCCCAGGAAAAAACTGTTTTATCTTGCTCTGTGCCTCAGTTTCTCCATGTGGAAGAAAGAGAAAAGAGACCTACCTTATGAGAATGCTGCTGGGTTAAACATGAGGAATAATGAAGGTTAATGAAAAAATGTCTTCATGAAGATCAGAAAATGACCACCTCCTAGCTCATTGCTGGAATGTGGATTGCTTCTCTGACACTTATTGACTACTGTAGGGTAACACAGCCTAGGGGGCGATCCTTCACTGCTGGATTGTCCTCTCTGGCTCTGGGCAGCTGCCTAGCCTCGTGGGGTCTGTGCAAAGTGGAGGGGGCCAGGCGACAGGAATGGAAAGCCCTCCTGGAGGGTTACCTTCACAAACTGCACATCACTGAGGATGTGGACTGAGTAGTCAGGCGTGTAGAGGCTGTTGCTGCTGTACAGCTGGGTGGTGCTGCCCCCATAGTCACTGCGCTCTCGGTTTGGAGACTCAGAGCGGTTCAACCCACTGCAGCGAGAAGGGGATCGGTTTACTGCAGATATTGACAAAGGAGGAGAAAGAGGAGGAAGAAGAGGAGAGGGTGAAGGAAGAAGGGGGAGAAAAGATGGAGGTGGGGTAGGGTGGAGGGAAAGGGGTGGAAAATGGAAAAGAGACAAAGAGAGGCGTTTACTGAGTACCTCTGGACTTTTAAGCAATGGTCACACTGGGTAGTGCTAATATGCCCCTTGTACTTTCCAATCTTGGGGGAAGTGTCAGATTAGTTATACAAGGGGTCAATAGCCTTAGAGAGGAATCTCCTGACACAAACAACTGAATGGGTAAATATTCTTTTCCTTTTTTCATGCTCCTTTCCTTTACAACTTCTAATTTTATTTTTTTAGGCAATTGGGGTTAAGTGACTTGCCCAGGATCACACAGCTAGTAAGTGTCAAGTGTTTGATCTGAGGCCAGATTTGAACTTCAGGACCGGTACTCTCTCCACTACACCACCTAGCTGCCCCTACAGCTTCTAAAGAGAAGAAGTTGGGGCATTTTGTCAGGAAGGATGCTTAGGCTGTCCACAGGACTGCAACCATCCTTTGCTGGTTTCATGTAGCTGCAAAGAAGGACCAGAATAAGAAGATGAAAGACCGTACTGGGAGTGCTAATTGCCTTACAGGACCAAGCAATTTATTTATTAACTGGAATGAATCTTATACCAAGTGCGGCACTGAGGTTCTCACAGACCCATCATTCCCAGCATACAGGATTGCCAACTTCCCAGTGACTGATCATTTGGTTATGGTTACCCACAGGCCTCCTGTTCTAATCGCCTGGTTTCACTGGCTCCTAACTTTCCAGAAGATCTCCATAAGTTTCCTATGCAAAGATGAGTTTGTTGGGGGTGGGGGATAGGCACTGGACCTGTGATCTCACCAGTATAGGGAATTCCTTGGTATAGAAACCTCATGGACCAATACCAGTCAGCACCATCTGTACAACTTCTAAGACAGAAAGCTGCCTAGAGAGCTGAGAACTTAAGTGATATGCCCAGGATCATGCAGTCAATATGTTGTCAGGTGCAGGACTTGAACTCAGGTCTTGGCTCTAAGACCAACTCTCTACCCACTAGTTACACTGCCTCTCTTGCTGGGGAACTCCAAGAAAAAGGGGCAGCAGGGTGGCCCAGTGAATAGAGCACATGACTTGGAGTCTGGGTGACCTGTGTTCCAATCTTGCCTCAGACCCTTACTAACTGTGTGACCCTAGGCAAGTCACTTAATCCTGATTGCCTCCAAAAACCAAAAACAAACAAAAAAATAAAGGAAAAGAAAATATAGTCAGTTGGTTTCAAAACTAGCTTCTTTGATCTAAGTCTTCATTGTACTTACCATCGCAAAGTCACCCAGAAGATGACAATAATTATAATACCTAGCATTTATGTATCATTTTAAGGTTTGCAAAATACTTTACAAATATCTCATTTACTGTCTCATGAGATAGGTAGGTGCCATTATTATTCCCATTTCATAGGAGATGAACCTGTGGCAGTCAGAGGTAAAGTGATTTGCCCAGGGTCATACAGCTAGTAAGTGTCTGAGGCAAAACTGGAACTTGGATCACTCAGAATCTAAGCCGTGTTCTATCCATTGCCCCTTCTATAGGGTTGACTTCTGCAGGTGGCTCTCAGATTTCCTCAACTATGAACTTTTACAAATATTACCCTGATGCCTCAAGATAACACAGAGGTGACCCTGATTTCTCCAAGGCTAGGCGAGCAGAGCACAAGCTCTGACTACGCACCTGCTGAAGGCTCTGCCGTCCAAGGCCCAGACTATTTGACTTAAGGGAATCTCGTCACCAGAAAGTTGGCCACAACCAATCTAGTTTTTTAGCCATAGATACTTAGGAGGACTGTCTACTGTGGCGAAAGAGGGCTTACAATCTGCCTCAGTAGGGACCTCATGAAAGTGCTGACGTGTAAAGCAAACCACACAAGGTACAGACAAGCCTTTCCCCATTTCCATCTGAAGTCTATCCTTGAGCTCTCCCCAAAGGACTGTCAAGGAGGAGGGGGCAGCAGCTAATGGTAGCACTTACAATGAGGGGCATTTATAATGTGGACGAAGGAGCAGAGCAATCAGAATCTTGTGGACTCTGGTTCTAGCTGTATTGATGAGAATTCTTGGGGAATTTAATTCCTGTACTCCAACCCACCAAACTATGAGTGAGGGTGGTCATCATCCAATTAAAATGTATATTGTATTGAGCACCTACCATGTATAGGGGTTAGCCCCTTGATGAAAAGGATTTGAATCCATTTGACAAAACATGCACCAGAAATAATAGTAAAGTGCAGTCTGAGTCCCTTTCTTAACCACACTTTTACACTCACTAACTGAGACACATGTCATTTAAAGGCATCAGCTCTAAAGGCTTGGACCCAATGGAAAATAAGCAGGTCATTCTCCTAATAGCCAAGAGGATCTAGAGTAAATATCTTGGGGCAAAACTGGGTTCCTACAGCCATGAGGGCTTCAGGGCCTGAATGGTTCATGGGTAAAGACCTAGGATTTCCCTGAGATGTGACTTAGAAACTTCCAAAGAGGGCTGTCCCTGGCAATCAGGAAATTATCACGGGCCTTTGTTATTGTCATGTCCAACTCTTTGTGACTCTATTTGGGGTTTTCTTGGCAAAGATACTGGATTGGTTTGCCATTTTCTTCCCCTTCTCATTTTACAGATGAGGAAACTGAGGCAAACAGGGTGAAGTGACCCACCTAGGGTCACACAGCTCATAAGTGTCTGAGGCCCTATTTGAACTCAGGAAGATGAGTCTTCCTGACTCCAGGCCCAGCACTCTGTGCACTATGGCGCCACGTATCTGCACGGTCACTGGCCTAGGAGCTTGGATGAAGGTCAGTCCTGTAAATATTTCCCAGACCTTAATGGATTTTTCTCTCTCACTGGATGAAGGTAAGCTAGATGTTTCTTCTAAGGCTTAATTTCCTCTCCCTATCTCCCACTTCCTCCTCTTGTAATCCTTGATTTCCTTCAAGACTCAGCTAGAACACCACCTAATGCATGGAAGCTTTTCTGTTGGCTGTTAGAGCCTTCCCCTCCAAGATTACCTGGCAGCTGCTTTGTATACACCTCTAAATGGGCAGAGGCAGCAGGGTTTAGTGAAGAGAGGGCTGGCTTTGAAGCCAGAGAAACTTGGCACAACCTCGCACTGGTCTACGCTCACTCTAAGGCTACTAAGTGTCAGAGGAGGTGCTGATTTTCCTTAGCAGGGGGAGTTCCTCATCTGGGAGTACCTATACTAGCGAAATCATTTCTGTCCTTGTACCTCCAGCATCTAACACAGTGCTTGGAATATAATAGGTACTTATTAATAAGAGCTAGAAAATACATACATATGTAAACACATGTATATATGTATATGTGTGTGTATGTTCTTATTTGATCTCACAACTGCCCTGTGAGGTAGGGCTATTATTATCCCCATTTTATAGATGAGGAAACTGAGTCCAAAAGAGGTTGTGTCTTGCCCAAGGTTACACAGCTAGTAAAGGTTTGAGGCAGGATTCAAACTCATTTCCCTGGCTCCAAGTAGCTGCCTAATATATGAGAGGCTCATCACCAGACTTGAAGAAGGGTAATGATGTGTTCAGCCACAACAGCTGTTAACAACCATCTACAGAATTATGGAGGAGCCACCAGCCGCCCCAGAGGAAATCCCCCAAACCAATGATATCCTGCTCCCCAAAGGGCTGGGTACAACTACTTCTCACCTGCTTAACTTAGTGATGATTGTAAGGACTGAGGAGAAAGCAGCTCATTGGTTGTTAAGAACCCTTTTAGATTTAATTAGATTCAGAGCTCAAAAGGTCACTCAGGTAGGAAGTGCCTGAGATAGTATTTGAACCTGGATCCTCTGACTTGGAAGTCAGTATTCTTTCCACTGTCCCATGCCGCCTCTCTAATAAGAGAGGGGACTGGGATGTCGGAGGGCATTTTCAAGGATGACACCAAAATCACAGCTCGTATTAATGGCAGAGGCATTCAGCAGAAAAAACATTTACTGCTTCATTTTCTTCTCTGCTCCCCAGTCGAGACTGGTTCAACAAGGACCCGTGTTTATGTCTCCCCCTAACTCAGTCTAGTGTAATTGTGGAAAGCAGGGCAGTGTGTCCGGGAGAAGCCTCTCTTTCAGGGTGGTATCTGGATCTAAAACACTAGGCTCAGCTGAAGGGTCCTGACCCCAACTGATATGTACACAGCCAATGAGGAAGGAGGGTGTGTTAGGGTCAGCGCCTTCAGAAACCCCTCCATCTGCTTGATAACCTCTGGCTTTTGCTATGTTAATATGTGACTCACCCAACCATAGGTTAGGAAGGGCATTGTTGCTCCTTTACCTCCTGGCTCATAATACGAGAGATGTAGTATTTCCTTTTTCTGCGAAGGGATGGAGTTGAACAGGCTGATCTCCCATATCCCTTCTGGCTCTAAAAGAACTCCTTCTGCTTGCTTCTGTGGCTACCACTGGTTCCATCTCTTTACTCCCTGGTAAACAGGTGGTCACTCTATTCCCTACCATCTCCTACCACCTCCCCCTAAAAGGTTTTCTGCCCTGTGACCCTGGGAGGTAGGACTGGCACATTGTGGAACCAGAGATCAGGGTGATGTTACAACCCAAGTCACATGTGGTGGATGGGCAGCAGCACCCACCTCTAGTTACAAAACAAAATTCAACAGACTGTTGACTTGTCAGCAATATCATAGAGGGGACCCTTGGTCAGGTTTGGGTTGGACTATATCAGAAATTCTTAACCTGGCATCCATTAACTTACTTTTAAAAAGATATTTTGATAATTACATTTCTGTATTATTGATTTTCCTTGAAGTTCTATGGATTTTATTTTATGCATTTAAAATATGATTCTGAGAAAGGATTCATAGGTCTAGGCAGACTTCCAAAAAGATCTGTAACACAAAATTGGTTAAGTATCAGTGGTTTCTGAGTTTCCTTCTAACTTTTGGACTTTGTAA